CATATTATGCCTGGCTGCCTGTTGTGTTTTAGGATGAAATAAGATGGCCTATGTGAAGCTCATGGGCTTAATGTGACTGGCGTACAGCCGTGCAGTCCAGAGGTCACAGTTACAGACAGGAGGGTAAAATGAAGAAGGTCTGTTTCCTTTGGCAGGCACGGATGGAACTTCCAAAACTCCAGCCAGAGACAAAAGAGACATTTCAAGTCAGCATAAAATATTACGAAGCCAGTCCGTGGCCAGCCAAGACAAAAGATAAAACATGGTTGTCACTAAATACAACGGTGCTGACAGGACCGACCCAATCTGGCAACTTGGATGGAAACCATTACTTCTAACTGGACTGGAGCTTTGAAGATTGGAGGAATCTTGTGGTGGGAGTCCGCCCCCCCGCCCAACCAGCTAGGCACCTCAGCAGAATCCACCAGTACTCTGTCATTTGTACAGATGTCCAGCCAAATAGTATGCGCACATGTGTTTGTGAGTGTGTGTGTGTGTGTGTGTATGGGGCATCTTTCCTACGCACACAAATCCACAATGTACATACGCATTCTCTACCTCGGCTCCCATGTTTCATCCTCCCCGCTCGCCCCGTGTTGTGTTTGTTGAGCTCTCGGGCCCAAATCCATTATTACCTCCTGAAATGACAACTCATTTCCACAAATGTAATCCTTTCCCTTGCCTGCATGAAGCTGTAAAGTAAACACAGTCTTCTCTCCAGAAAGCAGAGAGCAAGGAGGGTAGGGACACGCCACTTCAAATTTGCAAAAGGGAACTCAGAATGGTGAACGGCAGACCTGTGGAGTGAAGATGATAAAGACTAAGAGCATTTGAAGGGATTTATTCCAAAGCACCGCAGCGTCTACAGATATACTATATAAAGTACATACATAAAGCTTGTGGATAGTAGAATTTTCCACCTTGAAGTGTCCACTTTAACAAGAATATTGATCTATTTCAGAGTCTCTGTCATGGTCCCCGGGTCTTGGACCCACGTTTTTGAAGTTTTTTGTGAGTTCATGGTATGATTTAAGAGTTCTTTCCTTTTTTTTGCCTTGCTGCTTTAAGTTGATCTCTGTGGTATTTCTTAATATGGTCAGCACTTAGTTCTTATTAGTTTTAGTCGATGATAATTTTCTGGAGTTTGTTTTCAGTCAGAGGACCCCTCTGCTCCCTCTGTCCTCGTTCTGTCCGCCCATTAGTCGCGTGAAAGTGTGTTTTTCTTTTCCTTCAGTGTGTGTGAAGTTAATCTTGCTCCCCTGTGTAGCTGTGGCTTACTTCCTGTTTTATTTTGGTAACAGCTGGTCTTTTCTGTCTTGTGTCTAATTTTACTTCCTTTGTCATTTTCTTAATTAGTTTCAGCTGTGTATTTTCGACCCTGGTGTGTCCATTGTATTTAATTACCTCTAGTGTATATAAGCCTCAGACTCCCCTTCACTCACTGTCAGTGTCTGTTTCTCTTTTCTGTTTGCCATCCCTGTGTGTTTTAGGCTTCTATTAGAAACACTTTGGATTATGATGGTGGACTTTTGTTTCCTACCTAAAGTTGTGTACATGTGTTTGCGTCTTATTTCTACCAACCTTGGACAAAATGTGGAACACATCTTGAATCTAATCCTATCTGTGTCCAGTGCAGAGCAACTGGTGTGAGACTCATCGGCCTTTCTTCTCTTTTATCCAGAAAGGACCAATTATCCTAACGGACTGTATTATTCAAATTTAGGGCTGCAGTTCAGACAGAAACCATCAAATGTCCCAGAGGAAAGAGGGTTTTTTTTTTTTTTAGCCAAATGCAGTGTTTCCTACAAAAATATTGTATTTTTGGTGGTAGCAGGTCAAGGGGCACACACAAATGTGCCCACACAACACCCACACTTTCTTAAACAAATTAATAAAGAGGCCAAATACTATATACTAGTACTTTGAGTCAATAAAATACAACAAATAAGCTGCACAGTGAAATTGCTAAACATACAGTGATTGCCATTACTCAAATCATTTTGTGTGAAGTATGTTGGCTGTAGGACTTTCTCTTGCTTCATTTAGTTTTATTGCCATTGTAATACTAACAATTTTTGGAACACTTATTAAAACAGGTAAAGCTGTAAAAGTAAAGTGATATTGAAACAGTCAGAACGTAGGTTTAAAAAAATATGTTTTTCTAGCAAAATGTAATATGTTTTATGCCATTTATGTGGCATATTAATAATGAGGAAATAAATATACATTTTTAATCTATAGGCTGAAACTTCACCATCACAAAGAATAAATATATTAAGACAAAAAAACAAATTATACAATTGAAAGTGTCATAAAAATATTTGTAATTTCTCATCAAAAGTAAACCACCTGTTTACCCTTCTCCCACAGTTATAGACCCTTTTTCAACATTGGTCTGTCCTCTGTGTTCAGACTGTAACTGTCATTTCAAACAACCTCTGAATATGGTTTGGATGGTTAGTTTGTCCTCTGCATGTTGCAATATGCAATACGATCAACGACATGATAAAATTTTAGAGGGTGTAGTTTAATGCATAGTTGGTTGGTTGGTTCATAAAACTCTGAACTCTGCTTATGTTCCTTTCCTGATTTGGTGTGGTTTGTATGTGTTTCTTCAAACCTCCACACGGTAGATATGTATGCAGATATTTGGTAACAATACATTATGTGTAAAGGTTTTAGATTTGAAGACATTATTGGTCATATGTAATATTGCTATAGTTTTAGACATGTTTGTTTTAGCATCATTGTATGAGCTTTCTAGTATAATGTATGGTCATCACAGACTAAAATCAATGTTCATACTCACTACTTCAAATAACTGACTTTGTTTTATTTGCCTGTTGCAAACTTTATGCAATAACTCCATTAAAATTTATTAATGTCAAGCCATTTCTTTAAACCTTCTAAGTTGATAATAGTAATTGATAGGCAAACAATAATGACTTGAATTACATATATTTGTAATTCAAGAATTACATTTAAAAGTCAAAATTTATTATTTGCTTAGGCAGTAATTAATACATTAAACTTTACCATCTATTTTTCATTTTGGCAAAGCCACATTCAGGGCGGTAGTGTTATCATCCAATTCTCCTGATGCTTGGTTCATTAGGAGCGCTGAACTATAGCTGTCTGGTGAGCCGCAGACATGCAGCAAGAACATGCACACTGTCGTGTGTGCCTGCAAAAAGCTTGTACTTTGTCAGCATATTGCAGTTTAACCCAATCTACTGTCAAATGCAGTAGCTTGTTAAAACTCCAACCTGATATTTTTCAGAACACAGCAGATCCATATACTGAGGCATATGACCCAGTGAAAAGAGCCTAGTGACATGGTCCTTATCTGCAATAGCTATTGCAGGTCTTGCCCCGTTTGGCAGCCTTAGTGAACCTCAGTGTAGGGTAGAAGTGTAGTGTAGGTAGAACCAGTTCTCACTCACTGCACGCAGTTGTTAAAGTGGCCCTACAGCTCTGCAGAGCTCCAGCATGAAATGGGATGGGAATTTAGGGAAAATTGATTCCATTATCAATATCACTTATCGATTCAATTCCTTATCAAGGGTTGACGTGCCAGTCTGTGTATGGAAATTAGCACCAACTAAATCAGCATCTGTTCCTTAAATGCCCACTATTTTACACATAACTGATGTAGCAAATTCTGACTTCCAACAAAAAAGAGGGTTTATGTCCTGTTTGGGAGGTTTACTCACTGCTCTATGCTTCTTTTTGGCTGGTTAAGGCTCTATTAACTCTACTTGGGCCGGCTTAAAATATGAAAATATAGGCCAATATCCATAATATCGTTCTTTCCAGTGTTAAAAGAAACACTGGAAAGAAAAAAAATAACCCTGAGAGGTTTTGACAAAGAGCCCTTTATGCAAAATTTATAATAAGACTGCCCTCAAACTTACTTGGACAGGTGCAACTTGGCAAAAGCACCAAAGAACACGTTGAAACAAGAGCTGTACCTGTCACATTTCAGAATGGTAGAGGGAAAAGGCTAAATTAGACTAAATTAGAGATTTTAAGATTAAAGATAAATTGGCTTTGGCTGCCCAGACATATCCAATCAAAGCTGTTCTGTATTATATAAAGAGACAATTAAAGGCAGACATGCTTATAGCTTCAACTAAAAGGCAGGCACACACACACACACTCACACACACACACAAGCTACATCAGATAAACAAAAAAAGAGAAAATCAGTCCTCCATCAGCGTGCCCACCAATCCATCCCTTACCCTCAGCCACATCATATGTGACTGGTTTAATCGCAGGCCAATCATTGCCAGGTCACAATTAATAAAAGCCACAACAGCCGCAAATAAACAAGTCCAAATTGCTGCCTTAATCGAATGATGCAAACATTGGTGAGTTACAAAAGTTCACTGCCGCCACTGACAATTTCCTAATTGTATTCACTCATTCATGGCAATTTTATTAACATGGAGCGGATGTCTTCTGCCCTTCCACTGTCACAGCACCAGGGATCTAATTTCATTATTTTCCACAAGATTTGCTTGACTACTGCCGCCATGCTAGTGGCGCACCACGGCCAGATGTTTATGCTATTTAAATGAGGAAGCAAAGCCTGTTGGGTAAACATAATTAAAGAAAGTTGAAGCTTTGTTGTTTTTTTTTAACTTCTCTTCCTTGCCCTCTCTTTGTCTCCCTATCTCTCCTCCAAAGTCTCTCTCTCTCTCTTTCTTTCCTAACTTTTACTTCATTAGACAAATTTCAATTAACATCAGAGCCACATGTTTCTCTGAGCAGGAGAACGAGAGCTGCACGGAAAGGTGGGCATGCAGACAAGTGTAACACAGTGGACAGTGCACACACAGTGTATGCACAGATGCTTTAGCCTACAATTAACATGCAAATATGCTAATTTTGTGCACAAAAACACAAACACAAGTGAGTGTTTTCTTCGCTGACCGCTTGTTAAAGCGAACCGGGTGACTGGGATGCTCTTGAATCATTCACAACTCTATTCCTACCTGTGCACCTGATGAATCCAAACACGGTTGACCTGTGGCCACCTCTGCGGGTGTGTGTTTATTAAAATCATCACCCAGCACAGCCCAATCACACAGGCATTACTGCCCACGCCTGTTGCATGCTAAATAGGAGGAGAGACAGAGAGAGAGAAAGAGAGAGGGTAAATTAAATCACTCATGTCATGGTGCTAATAGGCCAGGCTTGCGCTCTGTGTAATTCCAGGCTGGAGCTACAAAAAATAAGTTGGGTTAAAAAAAAAAAACACAGAGCAAGAACATTCTATTAGGGCCAATATCACAGACAGTGTGTTACAAGGGGTCATTACAAGATTATGTAAACCAAGAGAGCACATTTCCATGCCGTGGTCATTTACATGTGATTATTGCATCAGAGTTATGCAGCGATTATACGGGGCTCGCCTCAGACATGCCAAGCCATATACACACAGGCTCAGGCTGTGCACACACACACACATGCACACACATGCACATGCACACACACACACACACACACACACACACTAAATTATGTCAAGATTATAGAAGGGGCTTGATCTTGAAAATAAAAGCAAACTCACAACAGCACCTGTCTGTGGCCTCTCTGTTTAGACTGAGGATTTATCCGCTGATGTCCCGTGTTGCGGCATGAATCCAGGGACACCCTGCTCATAAAAGCCTTCATTTGAACTACCGTAAGCAGAAGAATTCATTTACCCCGTTTGATAGAAAATGTCCTATCCGCCGCCTGCATTACTGCCCCAGTATTGCTGGGGCTTCATGGCTCAAAAATGCTTTGGCGCTCCAGTCATACAAGCACTTTTTAAGTATGCAGCACGCAGCACATTCGATACCCTTTAGTGCACACGAACTGAGTAGCTGTCAAAAATACAACAGGCATCTCAAGTAATTATGCAGATTTATGCAAAACATTAACAAGAAGAATTAAAGGCACAAATGAGGTGGCTACACTTGAATTGTTAAGATTATGAATAATTACCATGAATCTTTTTGCTCTTAATATAACTTGTTTTTGATAAACAAAGCCTTAATTATCGGAATACTTTGGAGGATTCTGGTGACCTTCATTAATCTTAGACAACAAGTCTCCGGTGAGACTTGAGATGAGGCCTGTGTACGTGCGTGTGCACGCACACACGCATGTGCACACACATATAGGGTAAACACGCATGCATGGCGGCGCATATGCTAACTAGCCACTTCAGCCCTGGAGCAAGCAGACAGACAGGTACACCTCCTAGTTAAGCCAAGAGAGCTCCTCACACTCCCCGGTGTGTCCCAGTATGGTAAGCCAGGAGGACAGATGCACAGGCGCACACATGAAGCAGGTGACTCAGATGCTCCTTTGAGAATTGGCAGCACCAGGTCCTTCACTAATTACAATTACATCTCACTTCCCTCCCCTTTCCACTTTCCTCTAACTTTGGACATGAATATTCCAGCAGAGCCATTGTGCATTGGACACGCTGCTCAATATGTCCCATAATTAAAAGCATGATGTGCGAGATGAAAATACTAAGGGCGCCCAACTCTACTCACAGCTCGCTGCCACCGAGAGAACAGAGAGCAAGAGATTTAGATTTTTTTTTTCAGTGCCTAAAATCATATGCTAGAAAAATGTTTTTTTGTATTTTCAAATTATTTTGGAATTATTTTACTGAAAAACTTGAAGCAACAGGAGGAAGACAAATTTACGCGTAGTGCTATGAAAAAGTGTGAAAATTTACTGCTGTTTAAATTTCCTGCATATTTGTCACACTCACATGTTTCAGGGCGTCAAGCAAACTTTAACATTAAACAAGGATGACCTGAGAAAAGACAATATATAGTTTTTAAATGATGATTTCATTTATTGGGGACCTACATGTTCCCATGTGAAAAAGTAATAGCTCCTAAAAATAATAACTGATTGTATCAACTTTCAAGCATTTCCGATACCTGGCAGTAAGTCTTTCACGTTGTTCATCCCACTCTTCTTTGCAGAGTTGTTTTAAAGGATGATCTGAAAGGTCGTGCCAACCTTTATTTTGTTTTTCTTTAGCCATTCACCATAAATGGTAAATGGACTGCTTCTTCTATAGCGCTTTATACAACTTGCCTCATTCACCCATTCACACAAGCACTTTTTTCTATTCTCTATGTAAATGCTTCTGTCTACCATTCACACACTTTTATACTCTGATGGATGCATCACAGAGCAACTTGGGGTTAGTATCTTGCCCAAGGATATTGGGCATGCAGACCGGAGCAGACAAGGATCATACCACCAACCTTCCCATTAGTTGGTGACCTGCTCTACCACCTCGGCTACAGCCATCCCAAGCAAAGGCGGTGGGCTTGCTTACTGCATTTCAGGTCATTGCCCTGGTGCGTAACCCAGATGTATCTGACCTTCAGGGAACACATTCTGATTCAGTAATTTCTAGTAGATAGCAGAGTTCATGGTAACATCAATTATAATAAGTCGCCCAGGCCCTGAAGCAGCACGTCAGCTCCAGACCATCACACTGCCACCACCATGTTGAAATGCTGTGTTAGTTTTATGTCAGATGAACAAACCTAATCTGTTTGGGCCAATAGGTTCATGTCAAAGATCAAGACATATGACACCTGTCCTACTCAGTGACCACTACAACATTATTTATTTCTTTATGAGTTCCTCAGAAAGGTTCTTTGTCCCTCTTGGAAAGTTTCTGACCAGGAAGCAAGAAGAGAGAGGCGATATAAGCCTAAAGATTAAAGTCATTTTACGTAGGGTTGGATACAATAACTAAGTTAGACAAATGTTATATTTTAGCAAGTAGCATGATCCTGAGGTTCAGCTCTATCAAATTCCAGAACCACTGAAACTAAATATGTTACGGCACTGACAGTACAAAGACAGAAAACAATTTTTTTTTGTGCATGTTATAAATCACATTGTACCAACTTTGGGTTTGGCTTCAGAACTCTGCTAATGCTCCAATGAATATGTAATCATCAATAATGTAATCAGCATTTAATACTATGCATATCTAATAATATGAGATTAGGTTTGATTATCTCGTGTGTTAATCATAGCAAGTGATGACTCTGCAACTTCTGGTGCTTCAACAATTAGGTCTGATCCCAAGGGTGTCTGACACCCAGGGGTGCTGCCAATCAAATCTCTGTTGATTGTTTTGGTTTAGTATCTATATTGTTTCTATTTATTCCCATCTACCTAATGAAATGCACACACGCATCTAAACACAAACACACACTTTCTCATAAGAAACCACAAAGAAAAGCTCGCTACACACACATGCTGTTTAAATATCATTTGGCCAAATTAAGCACAGAAAACTCTCGTTCTCTTTCTGACCTATCACAGCTGACTTTGGGTAAGAGATGGGATACACTCTGAACAGGCTGCCTGACACAGCGCAAACAGAGGCTGAAAACAGATAGATGATGGATGAATCAATAAACCCCAGTTCTTTTTTGTCTGGTTGAGCTTTTCCAATGTTTTTTTACAGAAAGTTTAACTTCCAGTTCAATGTTTTTAATTCTAAACAAACATAGTTTCAGACACTAGAAAATGTTAGATATCAAACCAGCTTTCCCAGAACCGTTCTGGCCTTACAGTTCTTCTCATCTAAGAATTCCTTTTGGCTTGTCATACAGGCGATAATTCCATATAAGGAGGTAGATCCGAACTCTAAACAGGTTACTGACAACCTTGAGGACATTGAGAAGTTTACATCAGATCAATGTGGATGATGCACCTCCACATTACTACATGGAACAAATGTTTTTTCCATCCTTCTTTGTTTCTTCTTTGTTAACCTTTTTAATGGCTAATTAAACAAATCAATGGCTTAAGTATCATGACCTGAAAACTACTGTTCACGTAACGATAGAGTCGGTGTACATTAATCCATACAGATTTTCAGAAAATGTTATTCAACTATCAACAGTTACTTTATAGTTTGATTTAGTTCTCCGAATGGGATCTGAGACAAAATGAAAAGTTGAGAAATCCATCATATTTTCATGTAAACATTCAAAGACACTTCTAGGGTAGACATCAAATTGAAACAGAATAGCTGTACTGCCAGTAGTAACACTCAAGTAGATCTCATCAACTCATTAGAGCAGCGGTCCCCATCCTTTTTTGCGCCACGGACCGGTTTATGCCCGACAATATTTTCATGGACCGGCCTTTAAGGTGTCGTCATAATAAAACTAGTACCGGTACCGAAAAAAAGAAGATTTATTCATAACACACGTGAAAAGACCCAGGAAAACCGAGTAACCCAGGAAAACCGAGTAAACAAAATAACGCTGAAAACCGATAAAAACCCTGAAAACTATACATTTCACACCTGAGCCTCAACTCTCGCGGCCCGGTACCAAACGACTCACGGACCGGTACCGGTCCGAGGCCCGGGGGTTGGGGACTGCTGCATTAGAGGCTTGATCGACTAAAGCTTGGGCCGTTATTCATCTGTTATGAATCTCTTGTACTCCCAGCATTGTTTTCTGAAGAGCTATGATAACATTAAACCATCAAACTGTGTCTGCATTAAAGGTCAGGCAGACCAAAACTTTCGACTACCAATTACAACCGGACAGAGGCACAGCGTATAATGTGAAATATTACTGACGAAGTCCAGAAAATCATGTTGCATGTTACTAGAACATCTGTTTTGTTTTTTAAAGCTAGTTTTTGGTTATTTCGGTAGGAGAACAATTTGGAGCTAAAACTATGTAGTTGTCTTTGGGTTAAACTGAGAAGTTGGGATTGACCTATTTCAGTATTGCCATAGCATCATGAAATGCTACCAAAGGCCCCCTTTGGCTTAAAAATAAAAAACAAGACGGAATAATAATTAGATGACCTTGGAGCGAGCACAGACTGCTTTTGGGGGGAGCTGTTACTTCCCTTTGTGTTTTCATTCGCATATAAAAGAAAAACACTTGTGAGCGGTAGAAAATGTAGCACCTGACCAAGTAACTCCTATTCATCATACAACTTCAAACCTCTACAAATATGAAGGTTGATTTTTCTTACTATGTGGCTGCATTTTCATTAGATCTGAACTTTAAAACCCAGGTTTTTTAACCTCATCAACTTTGTGCC